AAGTGGCCGGATCCAAGAAAACATCACTCGGGAGAAACGATTCGCGAGAAAGCCCTTACGGCAAGACGGGGTCCTGGGAGGTTTCGGATTGGACCTACCTGCCAGATGTGAGGAGGTACCTTAGTGATGACGGCCGTCTCGTAAGCGGCAAAAGGTCGGACGGAGTAGGGGATGAGGTGAGTTATCAGCAGGGGGAGGACTGATCACCCTTCCTTTTTGGGATTGATGGGCCGACATTCGTCTACTCGTTGGTGGGCCAAGGTTTGCGTACCTCCGAGTGAGAACTAGTCGTGCGATGGGGACATCGCATTTTGAGTGGGGGGAAGGTGTGTCATCTACCGATGAAAAAGCGTGCAAAAGAGAAGGTTACCATGAGCCCAAGAAATGGATGAGTAATTGACTTGCGCAGGCTTGAGAAAAGGCCTGGCAAGATGCCCAGAAGAAAGAAATGGATGTATAATTGACTTTGCGCAGGCTTGAGAAAAGGTTTGGCAAGATGTCCAGAAGAAAGAAATGGATGAGTAATTGACTTTGCACAAGCTTGAGAAAAGGGTCTGGCAAGATGTCCAGAAGCAAGAAATGGATGAGTAATTGACTTTGCATGGGTTTGAGAAAAGGCCTGGCAAGAGGGCCAGAAGAAAAATGGATGAGTAATTGACTTTGCACGGGCTTGAGAAAAGGTATGGCAAGAGGGCCAGAAGAGAAATGGATGAGTAATTGACCTTGCGCAGGCTTGAGAGAAGGCCTGGCAAGACATTCAGAAGAGAAAAGTATGGGTAATTGGGTTTGCATAGGCTCAAGGAAAGGACTGGCAAGACGCCCAGAAAAGTGATATATGTGTCATGGACTTTGCATGAGCTTGAGCAAGGCCTGGCGAGATGCTGGAAGAAAGATGCGTATGGAATAAACTAAGTAATGCGGATTTTGAGAATGGGGGTGACATGCATGCGGAATTGGCAGGGCTAGAGAAAACTGGGCAAAATGACATGGGAAAAATACATGTAAGATTGAGGAAAGAATGATGGGGGAGGGCATGGATTGTGCGGGTCGAAGAGCCAAGTGGAAGAGGCATTAAGGGTGACGGAAGCCGGAAAAGGGGCCGGATTGGCAAAAGATGGAAGGAGGGTCAACCAAAGGGGGCACCTGGGATGGCAAGGCTCGGGGGAAAAGCAGGGACAGCGAAAGGAGGAAAGCTGGAAAGGGGTCTGATGTCTTAAGAATGATGAATGAGACGAAAGGGGTTTGATGTTTTAAGAGTGATGAATGTGACGAAAGGGGTTTGACGTACTATGAGGGATGAATGAGATGTGAAAAGCCTAAAGGACAAAGAAAGCTTGACCCACACCAATCCCCATTCCAAGGCCGGAAAATAGAAGAAAATCGAGAAAGGAGCAAGAAAAGATAAAATGGACCCTGGCAAACTAACTAATCATAACATCACCTCCTCCTCTCCCGTCTATCCCTCCAAACCCACTGACACGAGATTGGTGCGCGATGAGGACATCACGAATGAGTGGGGGGAATGTATCGGGACTGGTGAGTCCCGAATAACTTCCCATCACTCGAGAGACTGAATATGGGCAAACTGTGCACAATAGAGGAGGCAGGAGAGAGAAAAGATAAAGGATTAGGCCACATGAGGGAGTGATGCCCTGGGGTGAGAACCACAGGAGGAGAAAACTAGCGACGACAAGCAAGCGAGCGCAAGAACAGGGGCACATAGAATATAGCATGAGGCCAGTAGGGTCGTTGGAATGCAATAAGACTAAGGCCAAAGAGCCCTTGAACCAGCAAAAGCAGCACGGCAACGATAAAGGAACGAGGGAGTCGAGGGATGGGCAACCCAGAGGCCGCGGGAAGATAGAGAACGAGGGTCAAAATGGGGGCCACCTACGGGAGCCTCGGGGTAGAGGCCCGCGACCAAAGGAACCGGTGCGCGCTAGGCGCAAGAAACGACAAGGGAGAGAGGTCACCATGGGGCGGGAAAACGCCCAAGGGACGTGGGACAACTCAGGGAAAGGCACCCGGGGCCACGTGGGACTAAGTAAAAATAATGACATCCGGGGCGAAATGTGGCGGGGCCCCCGGCGGGACTAAGTGTCGGGGACTGCCGACGGGACTAAGTAACGGGGACCACCGGCGGGACTAAGTGTTGGGGACCACCGGCGGGACTAAGTGTCGGGGACCACCGACGGGACAAGTGGCGGGGACATGTGAAAGTCCCAAGAAGAAACGGCGGCACCACATGAGGAAAAATAATAAAGGCAAACAACACCGTCAAGATCGAGATTTTGACGACCAAGAATATTAGCACCACTAGTACAAGCACTAACGGTAGCAAATGGGAAGGTTGAAAAGAAAAGAAAAGGTAAAGAAACTTGAGGTGGGAGGCATGGGAGCAATCCGAAAAATCTCGGATCAGCCTCCATCAAGAAAATGGAGTCAAAAGAGACCCCATGTGAAAAATAGCCCTCCGGGAGAAAATCGGAGTAGGAGGGGCCATTATGGGAGGAAAATAGGAGTGAAGGGAAGCCCCCATGGGCATGAGAAGGCCATTATTGCAGTCCGAGATATAACGGACTGCACTTTGGGCATAAGAAGGGCTAAAACTAAATGGAAGAGGCTAGAAAAGGGCCTTAACGACCACTTGACACTTGGCATGCCAGGAAAAAAAAGAGAAAAGAAAAGAACATATAGGAGAATAAAACAAAAAGAGTGAGAGGGAGTGAGTGAGTTGGTCGTCAGTAGGGACTGCCACAAGTAGGGACTGGCAAGTCCCTACTGTCCAAGAACGGAGGAAAAGAAAAGAAAAGAAAAGAAAAGAAAAGAGAAAAACGCCTTAACGGTAAAAAACAGTCACTTGGGGAGATTCGTCCGTCACAAGATTCATTCTGGAATATGGCGGTTATAAAGGACTTTGATTTTCTTTGATTTTTGCAGAGAAAATCAAGGAAAATCAAGGAAAATCAAGGCCCCATGCAACCGGAATGAAACGGATTGTATGCATGAGGAGAAACACATGTTTTAGGTGCGCATCCGGAGCCAAAATCAAGTCCGGATGCACTTGGGAATTGGCCGTTTCTTTTTCTTTTGAGTAAGGGCTAGTTGTGGGGCATTGGGGCTAGGGAATTAAACCCCATCGCAGTCCGAGTTGCAACGGACTGCAAGGGGATGCCTAGGCTAAGGGAAAATGAGCCACGGCAAGCAATTTGGGCATGGGGCAAGCAAAGATGGTAAACGGCAACCGTGAGATGAGATCTCACGGCTAAAAAAATCAGCACACATGTGGAAAATGATGGGACCACCAAGGGCAAGGGGGTCCAAAAAAATAAAAATGGGATACCGTTCGGGATGATGCCGGGGACCAAGTGGGTCCAAATAATAAAAATCGAAAAATGGCACATGCGCCGGCGGGATTGTCGACGGGACAAAAAAAATGGAACTAGTATGGAGGAGAGTGGCGGGGACTTCGGATGACCCAAGGGGACCATGAGCAAGCACAAGGAATATTTGTGCAAACAAACGACACCGGGAAAATATTAGCACCACTAGTGCAAGTGGGGCAAGTGGGAGAGCCATGGGGTGAAAAGAAAGCAAAATAATAGTGTTGGGAGGGCTGCCCAGCAGTAACAGATATCTCGGACTAGCTAGGCATGAGGTGGGTGTGACCCTGGGACGAACGGCCCACGCCCTGAGCATGAGTGTGGGCGGGCCGAGCCAACTGGGACCCGCAGTGGGGTCGACTAAGGCTCGAAAGTCTCCGGGGTTTGGCCCTACACCGTGACTGTAAGTGGGTACACAATAGATACCATTGTAGGGAGTAGGTTGGAAAACCCGTGTGCGTAGGTGGCAGAAATGGAGGTGTAACTGGGAAGGGCTTTGCACGGTCATGGACCCGGGTAAGTGGGTCAAAGGTTTAGGGAAAACGCTAGGCTAGAAACATCGGAAACAATGTAAATATACAGCTAGGTGGTCTGAAGTGCCCAGATTGTATGGTTGGAAGTGAACGGTAAAGACAACTTGTTTAACAAATGGCAACACACAGGTTTAGGGGAGATTTCAAGGTACAAAGATGGAGAGCAGGTCAATTCCAGGAATACACAACATGCATAGATACAATACATGGGGACAGGTACCAGATGTTTGGGCAAACCTGACGGGGGGAAGGGTGAAATGGACAAGTTGATACTAGGACACAGACGGGGTATGGATCACAGGTGCAAGAACCACACACACACACACGGAGAGAGAGAGAGAGAGAGAGAGAGAGAGAGAGAGAGAGAGAGAGAGAGAGAGAGAGAGAGAGAGAGAGAGAGAGAGAG